GCAGTTTTCAGCATAAGACAATGGTCATCTTTACTGCTAAATTCTTACCCTTGAACTGTCCTAGCTGGCAGGGTCTTCCTTCTCTCTGAACTGAAATGGGCACAGGAACAACTAAATCTTTCCCTCTAAATGAAAATGAATTATAAAAATCTCTTTAGTTGAATCAAGGCCAAGTTGAGAATTTTCACAAGGAAATGTACACTATTTTCACAAGGAAATTCACCCTTTTAAAAAATGTTCAGTCCAAACAAAGAGTAGCTTGCTAATATAAATTTATAATAGTTCGTAAGATATGCTAGGATGAGTGGTACCCCCGCAACACAAACACATGAAGATACATTGAATTTCTAGAGCCCAGTACCTGAGAATGTGGCCATATTTATAAAGTAATCAAGTAAAAATGAGATCATTTGGGTATGTCTTAATCCTATGTGACTAGTGTCCTTACAATAAAGGAAATATGGATGTGGAGAGAGACACACACAGAGGGAAGACAATGGGAAGACACACAGGGATTATAAGGTGTGGCACTGAAGATTGAAAGGTTGGATTCATCTACAAGGAACACAGCAGACAAAAAATTTCTCTTCTACAAGTTTCTTGGTGAGCTTGCCTTGCTATTTCTTGATCTCAAACTTCTCACCTCCACAATTATAAGACCATGCATTTCCATTGTTTTGAGTCACCCAATCCATGGCACTATGTGGGGAAGCACCATTACAATAAAATGCAGAAAATAATTCAACACACACTGACCATATTTGCTATTTTAAGCAGCATATTTACATAACCTCTGTCCTATTAGGTGGTTTTTATAACCAGAGTAGTAATCCTTATTGATTCTCAAACCACAATTTTATGGAAAGATTTGTTTTGTATTTTGGAGAGCACATGGTGAAGAAGGATATTTTCCTAGGGTCTCCTATTTTTTTTGGTGGGGGGGATTACACATATTAAAATAGTTGTTACCACTCACCTCCAAGTGAAAGGCCAGTGATGTTCAGTGGCACCTGCTAATGTCAGGCCTACCCAGCTGCCAATAAATCTAGCAATTAATTTTTTTTTCTTCTACTCACATTTATTGCTCTACAGTGGAAGAATACAGCTTGACAAAATCATAAGTAGGCAGGGGCCAATCTAGGGTCAACTTGCCTATTCTCACAAGCTATAAAAAAAGTTACTTGAAATCACTTGAACTAGGGTTCTCACTCCCCTGTTAGTATTTTAAAAGTTAGAATTGGGAGTTACAACACTTGTATGTTTTGATGACACTAAAGAGATGTTGAGAGAGACCCAATTGGTTTATGGTGCTTAGAAGTTATTATCAACTGCTAAGACCATGTAGTCACCCACACAATGTACAGAGCAAAGAGCAGGACCTGCCTTTAAGAAAATGTATATAACTAAAAGTGGGTGTGCATGAGAATAGCAAGTTTATCATTAGATCCTCATCCCAAACTTCTAAATTTTAGCCCTTCAGCAATTTACTCCCCTCTTAAAAAATCTTTTATCTCTTTTTTCCAGAGGGAGACAGAGAAAGAAAAAGAGAGAGATAAGAGATGAGAGAGAAGAGAGAGAAAGAGAGATGAGAGAGAGATGAGAGACAGGGAGGGGCAGAGAGATGAGAGACAGGGGAGGAAGAGAGGGAGATGGGGAGAAGGAGGGAGAGAGGGAGAGAGAAGAGAAAATCAGTATACACAGCTGAAATTCCTCTGAAAGTAAAAAAAAAAAAAAAAAAAATTTCAGCTGGGCCTCAACCTACCTGTGGTGGAGAAGGTTGGTGTTGATGAAGATGGACCTTGGGAAAAGGAAGGGAGAAGCAGGAGAGGAGAGAATAAATCAAAACAGAGTAAATGTCATGTAGCCAGCACAGTAGCATTTGAGAGTGTGTGTTGTGGCTTTGAGCAGTGAGAGGAATTGAAAGGAAAGACCCATGATAGAACACATCATGTCACAAGTAACTCTAGATTTCCTTTTGTTCTTGCTTCTTGCAAAAAAATCATGGAAATACTTTCAGTACATTGAGTTTGGCATCTTCTTGAGGAAGCGCCCTGATTTCTACCACATGCTGAGATCAGTGGGCTATTCCTTCCTTGCTTCTTAATTACTGATTAGCACACACAATGATTTAATTGGTCTTCCATGGTTGGAGGTAATCTTGATTATTGCTTTTCCACATTTGAAGAGGGATTCCTGGGCCTTGTTTGCCTGAAACCATCTACTCCAGTTAGGGAATACTGCTCTGGTGACAATAGGAAAAACACTATTAAGGTCACAGCCTGAGGAGTCTCCACCCAAGAGCCAGGAAATATTCTGTAACAACTCCAGTACTACTGACCTGCAGTTGATCTGTAGAGCAAACACTGGGTACATCCATATTTCACTAAAGGGGACACCATAGTTACTTTAGGTATGCCCTTTTTCTGTAGTTTAAATGGAAATATTCCAATGTGAGTGTGCCGAATTGAACATGAGTTTTGGAGATCTATTGGTGTTTCTCTAAGGCACAGGCTGCTCTTATTCTTCCCTCTCAAAAGTATCCTTCTGAGTGATCAGTGGATAAGGAAGATGCAGTGTAGCATTCTATGTGGAACTTCCAAGTACTTTCATAGGTGACAATGGATATCATAAATTATAAATGGGTGAAATGTACCCAATGAGTATGGCAACGATTATTGAATTTGGGTAAGTCTCTAAAAGTTATGAGGCTTCATAATCTGATTGTAATGGCACTAAAATGAGTTTTAAATGGCCAGGTGATTCTCATATGAGATAAAGACTAGCACTCACCCTTCCAAATCCAGAAGTCAGAAAGTTGAGATAATAGGAGGTAGGATAGTTTATCTGTTAAGCTTGGGGCTTCTTGAGGCGGTTCAAACACTGACACTGCATTTTCTATTCTGAACTTGAGTAGCGGAGTAAAATAACCATGTCCTTGAAAGATAAGGCACAGGAGAAAGCATAAAGTCACCAAATTTGAATTCTGTGGCCTTACCCTACTGCTCATTTGTGACCCTCTGCAGCACTCAGGTGAGTGGTATTATACTGGTTAGATTTCCTAAAAGCTGTGTCACTACAGAGCCCAGAGACCAGGCTGTTGCTCACACTCCCCACTGATCCAATAAGTGTGTTGTTTGGCAGCTGTTTTCCCTCAGAGTTCCATTACACCTTTATGCCCCCAGGCAGATCTTGTTGACAGTGACAATGTAGTGAGTGACTCTTATGCAACAAGCACTGTGAGAAGCAGTGTACACACGTCACATTATCTACCAACAACCTGTACTGTGATAACATCTCCGATTTAACCAGTCTACTATATGACTCCGGTATTGGTAAAATGCCATTCCTTTTTCTTACACTACTTTATAAAGCAGCATTAGTAAGTCTAGTTAGAAAACTGAACCTTTAACTCCTGAGATATCTTGTAATAATCTACTCATATTCTTTCTTATCCAATGTACATTTATTTAAAGTGAAAATACCTAAAGGCTGTGAGTTTGAGCTCACCGCGAAACAGTCCAGACTAGTGAGATTTTGAAACTATACTTTCAAATGGTATGGCCATAGGACTGGGCACTACATTGATTCACTCTATACTCAGGATGCAAGGACAAGTAAAACATAGTGTTTGTCCTTAACTGTTTCTAGTAGGGAAACTGAGTAAAGAAGATGTTTTAATTCAGTGTGGTTAATCCTGTGGGCAAATAAATGGAATGCAATGCCCTACCCCTGCCATTGTGAATGCCTAATCCAGGTAGGCTGTCAGGAAGCCAATTCCCACCTGTGGGGGCCGAGCCCACATTCCTTTGAGTTTGTCACAACCTGGTTAAAGGGATCACTCAACTTCCCTTAAGACATATACTTGCTCCCTTTCAACAAAGAGAATCAGAGACCCTTGGTTCCATAGTCTCAGTGCTTTTAGCTGGTATTTTCAGTCCACCCAGGAAAACCTTTCAAAGATAAATGTCAAGGTGAATACAATCAGAGGACCACTTAGGTGCACAAATGGGAAACCACAGAAACGGATTCCCAGACTCTTGCCTCACCTCTACTCACCCCTAAATCCCTCAGGAATCCTCAGCATCCTGATCAACACTGAGCTGAAGAGTAGTCAAAGCAAGTACTTTGTGTCCTACAACTAAATGTGGACAAAAATGTGGAAAGTGAGCCAATAAGAAACCTCAGTGCCCTCTTGATGCTGCCAGAAATATAGGCTTACCCTCAGCTGTCTAGTGCAAAAGACAGAACTAGTTTAGGAAATTAGTGACCTATTCACATTTCCCACTCTATCCTGGGAGGTTACCTGATAGGACAATTGTGGCAATTAAGACTTTGGGATTTGTCAAGAAGAGATTTCTGTCTTGAGATTCTTAGGACCAGAAGTCAATGAAGTCATCTTTTTTTTTTTTTTCCCTTAGGAACTGGGTTTAAATTTTTCTCAGCTTTCAAGTCAGAAATCAATTCTTCAGTGACTTCTCATAAAAGCTTAAAAAATAGGAGAAAGCATGTCAACTCTCACCCAAAAATGTTGGCTGTGCCCTTGTGGCCAGGAATAGTGCTGGGCACATGATATAGAATCTTTCACTTAACACTCAAGAACACTGCTTCCAGGAGATACTACATACATTTTACCAAGAGAAAATCAAAATTCTGAGAGGTTGGAACTTACAGAATCCCATGCATACCGATGGTAGATCTGGGAGTTACACCCAAATATGCCAAATTCTAGAAAAATGTCTCCAGTCAGGAAACTTGTGCTACACAAAGTGAACCCAAGACAGCCTTGGTTACCTAAAAAACAAACAAAAACAAAAAAACCCTGTACTTCCTCTGGGCTCTGAAGACACCATGGATTGTGCTAGTTGATGTAACACAGCTGTAGCTTGCCCTGAAAGCGGAAGAGCCTGGAAAAGCTACCCTTTTCAGAGGCGCTTTGGCTGCAATGTTAAAGGCACACAGCTGAAACCAAGCCTTATCTCTATATAAGAAAATCTGGTGCTGGGAAGAGTGGCTCATGGGAGAGGAAGAAGAAGGTTCACAACCGGCCAGGGCCCTTCTTGGCAAAATGTGGCAAATGCAATGCCTCTTATTCTGTTTTTCCCTGTTGCTTGCCCTGAGTGGTCAGCAGACACCGGGGGCACTAAATATGTCTGGTGTGCTCCACTGTGGGCAGCAGGGTTTTCAGTTCATTGTTAACTATCTCCTCCAGGACAGAATGATGCCTGTGTTCATAGCTTGGGGTAGGTTTGACCACTATTGGTTTAGCCAAGAAAGACTTTGCTGCTGAGAGCTACTGTTCATCTTCCTAGCTTGATGCTTTCCTCCTTTAAGGAGCTCTGTAATTGCTGTCTGAACTTCTCTACCTCAAGTTCTCCTTCTGGACAGTTTCATGGGGTTAGGGGGGCCTGCCAAGCTGTCAGTTCCCTACACTAATAACCAAGATGACTGACCACTGATGCTTTTCACCTTCCTCCTTGCAGACAACAAAGGGCTGCCACACAAGCTGGTGAACAATTCTGAGTGTGGTATGTGGGTGAGGGAGGACCCTGATGGCTCAGTGATATTGGAAGCCAACTACAGTGGCTGCTACGTCAAGGAGCGGGTAAGTAGAACTCAGGTGTCAGCAACACTGAGACCCTCCCTCCACCAGTCAGGCTGACTTTCCAAGGTCATTCCTCCAGGGCTTTCACTACATCCTGCCTATCGGGGTAGAAGGAGTAGATGCAGCTGGACACACGATGCTCATGAAGAGGCTACTCAGGTGTCCTGTGAATCTTCCAGGTAACAGCTGGAGACTTCAGACTCTGGGTGAGTGAAGCTACCTTGAAGGGACCCTTAGGCCTCTACTTATTCGACAGTGACTCCTGACATTCAGAAAGGAGTAGTTCTTCTAACTCTCTCTCCTGAGCAGTGGGGGACAGTGTGGCCATTGCTCTGCTTGTTTCTCCCCTAACCACTACCATGCTCTAGAAGGAATAAAACCATTCCTTGCATAAAGCCTGTTATATCCACCCATTCTTGCCATGCTGGAGTTCAAACAAGAATTAGCCAGTGACTAGGAGCTCTCATCACTGAGAATGGCAGAAAAGGCAGCTGAGCTATCAGGAGGACCTGACCAGTGTCGAAGAGCAGCTGGTTCTGTCTCCTGACTAGAACACAAGTCTGACTCCCAGCTGGGCCTACTTGATCTTGGGGAATTTTCAGGGAGGATGATGTCTATCCCCATCTGAAAATTCTGCTTGATTTTTGTCTAAGAGCCAACCTCACAGAACAGATTTAAACCTAGAATTCACTCTCCTTACTGCCTGATTACTCAAAACTGTCTGGATAGGTGATACTGATAAAATGAAAGTCAAGGACCACCATATTCCAGACCTAAATTTCATAAAGAAGGTAATGAAGTAACCTAAAGGTAACCTGGGTTGGCGCTAAAGCTTGAGAAGGGTCCTTATGGGAAAGAAAGTAAGTAGCCCCACAAATCCTACTGGTCTAGTAAGTATCCACTTACAAAGTGACTTCCTATTTACCTAGCATTCTAAAGTTTAATCTCCAGCATGTAATGTGAACAGACCTATTGCAAACATCTGTCTAGACCTTCAGTGTTGAGGCTCTGTAACAAGATGGCCTTCCACTTCTTAGCTTGAGCTATTCTTCCTTTCTCCACATCTAGGCCAAGCTGCTCCAGGTGCTGACCTGTGTGACTCCGTGCCTGTGGAGGACAGATTACCATGTGTATCCTCTCAGGCTTCTCAAGCAGACTGTGAAGAGCTGGGCTGCTGCTTCAGCCCTGCAGGAGAAGCCAGTTCCTGTTACTATGGAAACACAGGTGTGTTGTGTTGTCTGAGCCAGCTAAGGAAAAGCCCCAGTTATTACTTGTGAAACCCAGAGGAAGGGGGATAGATTTGTTCAGGAGGCAAATACTAAGCAACCGGAGCCTCACATATAAGAAATGTCTCCTAGAACTTTTGGCCCCTAAAGAATAAAGCTTTCTACATCTTGCATTGTCTACTCTTCCCACACCCTATTGGACAAGCAAATGACATTCGAGGGGCTCAAGAAACTTAAGTCTTAAACTTTCCCCCTAGAATACCAGCCTTAATGGTTGATATTCTGCAGTTGTTTTTAGAGCTTTTTTCCAAGAACCTCACTTTCCACAAATCCTAAATCATGCTCTTAATTCATGATTTTTGACTATGAAAAATTTCTCTTAAATGAGCAATTACATACCACACCTCTAAAAATCTGAATTCTAAGATGAATTGGGTGTTACTATCCCTGTTCTATAAATGGGTTGAAAGGAAACCAGTCCTTTCCGTGGGTAACACAGTGGGTGTAAGCACAAGACTGACCAGGTAGTGAGTTTGAGCCTCAGGTAAGCTGTACACAGCTGAACTTGTTCCCACCTTACCTTTGGGAATATCAATAGGTGGGGACTGGAGAGAAGTGGTTCAAAACAACTAAGTTATTGGACTTCTGTGCAATCAGAGTGATAAACTGCCTTCTTTGTTCTTCTGGGATTTCAGTGACCTCACATTGTAGCCAGGAAGGCCACTTCTCCATTGCTGTGTCCCGGGAAGTAGCTTCTCCCCCACTACGGTTGGATTCTGTGCGTCTGGTCCTCGGGAATGACAGTGGGTGTGAGCCCGTGATGGTAACCCGAGCCTTTGTCCTGTTCAAGTTTCCATTTACTTCCTGTGGAACCACAAGCTGGGTGAGCAGGACAGGCTGCCTTTGGATTTTGTATCTGCCTGTGGAGGCTAGGAGGGAAGATGCTAGAAATGAGCAAGGAAGAGCTGGAGCATCCTATCCAGGAGGGTGGTCCTGACACCTGCTGGGTGTGGAGGGTGTTCTCTAGGGCAGAACACGCTGAGAAAGCTGGGACTTGTCCTGGGCCTTCAACTGAGGCCATCACAGCTGTAAGTCAGTAGAATACCAGCTTTAATGGTTGATATTCTGCAGTTGTGTTTAGAGCTTTTTTCCAAGAACCTCACTTTCCACAAATCCTAAATCATGCTAATCAATTAACAAGAAAAAAGAGGGGACAAGTTCTTTGCCATGCACTATTTGGGAATCAGGAGGATTTGTGATTGCTTTATCTAGCACTCAAAGCTCTTTCCTGCACAGTAAGGCAAAACAGTCATTCCCAGGTTCACTGCTCTTGCTCTTGGCTCTACTTGGGGAACAGGAAATGTCCCATAAAATATAGTCCCTGAGATCCAGGTCAAAGCAAACTCAGCAGTGGCATCTTGCTAGCAGGAATGACTGACTCCACTTTGCCTAATCCCATAGGTCACTGGAGACCAGACAGTATATGAAAATGAGTTAACTGCCATTAGGGATGTAAGAACTTGGGATCATGGCTCTATCACTCGTGACAGCATCTTCAGGTAAGGTATCAATTACCCTGGCCCTACAAAACCAGAATGACTCCCCTTCCATAAGGCCAGAGGGTTAGGGTAATTTAACAGTAGAGATTCTGCACAGCGTTTGCCAAGCTTCCTGACCTCAACTTGAGTCTTATAGCTGTCTCCTCAGAGTCATAGCAATGTGGACATCTGCTCTTCCACCTAAATGGGTTTTCAGGTGCTCATTTTGGCATTCTGTCTCCCCTGCCATGGTTTGTGCTGTAACCAAAAGAATCTTGGAGACCTTACTGTGGCCAGATCTCCCACTTAATTTTTTCTTTGTCACTAAAGCATCAATGTGACCATAACTTTCTATGGCTAAGGGGAGACCGATTCTGTGTCCCTCTTCACCCTGACTGACCTTGCCCCTACCTGACTGTTCCCCAAGCTCAGGTTGCTTCCTCTTATGACACTTCCAAAAGTTCTCAAGCTCCTTGTCACTTCTTTACCTTGTTCTAGTTCAAGTGTCCTCTCCCATACTTCTACAAGGTCCCTGCTATTCTCCATATCAAGTCACCTGTAAGATATTCCTTGACTCATCTTCTCTATAGCAGACATCTATGGTACTGTATTACATAATTTTAACTCATGTCAGCCCAATTTATATATTGGCCTGACTAAAATACAACCTCCACAAGGCCAGGGATCTTGTTGGTCACTTAATGCTGCCCAGGAGATAACAATCAAAGCATGTGTGGCCACACTGGGAGCTAAAACATTTTTTCCCCCCTACAGGCTTCAAGTCAGCTGCAGCTATTCACTAAAGAGTAACACATTTCCAGTTAGTGTCCAGGTGTTTACCCTTTCACCTCCTCTTCCCAAGACCCAGGATGGACCTCTCACTCTAGAACTTCAGATTGCCAAGGGTAAGATGTTCTCAGCTAGAGCACTAGACCTACAATCAAACTAATGTTTCTGGGCATAAAGACCCTATACTGGTCATAAGAGGTATATACAGGTGTTTAGGGGTGATAAGTGGTTGTAAATGACTAAAAAGTTGTTAGTGCTACATTTACTCTGACTATCTTGATCTTATGCAGACAAGGACTATGGCTCCTACTATGTGGCTAGTGACTACCCAGTGGTGAAATTCCTTCGGGATCCAGTCTACGTAGAGGTCTCCATTCTTCACAGGACAGACCCCAGTTTGGGGCTCCTCCTACATCAGTGTTGGGCTACACCTAGCCCCAACCCCCTGCACCAACCGCAGTGGCCCATCTTGGTGAAAGGGTAAGTGGTTATTGTACATCTCTGTACCAGTCCTTTAAAGAAGACTCTCCTGACTCACATATCTCTTTGCTTAGCTGCCCCTACACTGGGGACAACTACCAGGCTCAGAGGATCCCTGTCAAGACCGCCTCAAACCTACTGTTTCCTTCACACCACCAGCGCTTCAGTTTCTCCACCTTCAGCTTTGTGGACTCTACAAGGGCGAAACAGGCTCTGAGTGGACAGGTAGGAACCCGCTCTCTTAAGATTATTTCTCCAAGCTACTGCATCTCAGCCTAGGACCCCTTTAATGCTGGCCAATGGTACTCCCTTGGTACCAAGGACATGAATGTCATGTGTCATCTGGACTCTAGTTTTATCAAGATTCCTGATGGTTATATCAACTTCCTAGAGAGACAAAGGGGGCTGGTACAGTGGCAGGTGGTACTCTATCATGACCTGTGTTCTGTTGGCTACCAGGTGTTTCTGCACTGCAGTGCATCCGTGTGCCAGCCTACAGGGATGCTATCGTGCATGGTCACCTGTTCTCCTGCCAAGCGTGAGTATTCCAGCTGCCTACACTAGTGGCCACACACATGAATCTTGAGTTTCACTTCTAACCTTTCTCAGTGTCTAGACAAGTGACTCAAGCTGAATATTGGTCTCATTAAACCACCTACATACTTACAACGCATTAAAATAGAGATGACTAGTTCCCAGAAACAAGCTTTTAAAATGTAAACTACACTCAGATGATCTAACCTTGGTTTTATTCCTATAAAACTGGAATAAACTTGAAGCTAATTGGTCCAGGCATATTCCTAGCTTACCTCCCTCCTGCCACACACACACACACACTCACTCCAAGTTTTGGCAATTGGACAAAGGACCTTAGCACACTGAGCTACATCCAAAACCCTTGTTTTAAATATTTTGAGACAAGGTCTCACTAAAGTTGCCTGGAGTGGGCTTGAACTTTGCCGTAGCCTCCCAGAGTGCTAGAATTACAGGTGTGCACCACTGTGCCCAGCTCATCTAAATCAACTTGACAGAACCATTTGCTGGTTCACAATTTAAGTGTCTAGAGCCATGTTAAAGCAGCCTGCAACTTGGTCCAAAGTCCTCTCAGTAAGATGTGACTTTAGAAATAGAATATATACTTCTAGCTGTAGATGTTTCCATAGTGTAGATGAACTTCTACGTGGTCTGCTGTTATTTGTTTAATCCCTGTTTTGGTTTCATGACCATTGTGGCTTTAAGTTCTTCCCAATGCAAAATGAACTCATAGGAACTATTTCTTAAGGCATTACACTGAATATTTATCCTACTCCAATTGTATGTAATAACATTGCTTTCCAAAGAGCTAGCCATGTAGACTTTCTCAAGATCTTATAACTGAAAATTAGAAGCAGGATTGTTTCTAACATGGTCTCTTATGCCCAAATCTGATGACACTAGCATTAACTAAAAGCACAAATTTTATTCACATAATAGTTTCTGCAAAGTACAGAATGAGGCTCTACCTATTAAGTAACTTCATCTTGTACAATAACAGTTCCTACCCCTAATCTCATGAATGCAAAAATATAATTTTCCCAATTGACTACATCTCTCCTACAGGAAGAAGAAAATCTGACCTGTATTTTCAGAACAGTACTGCCAGCGTTTCTAGCAAGGGTCCTATGATTCTACTCCAAACTACTGAAGATCCTTTAGAAAAGCTCCGTAAATCTACAGGTGAGTAGAGAACTCCTGGCTAGCTACCTGAATCATCAATTAATCCAAAGGCATTCTTCTCCCCGCCTACCTCTGATCCTTGTTGCTTTCTCAAAAGGGTAACATCTTCCTTTTGAAGTTTCAGTTTTTGACACAGAATCACATGGTTGTTCCTAGCATCTGCTAATCTACCTTTTCCTCCTCTAGGTGCTCCTGTGAACCCGCAAACTCTGTGGGTAGCAGGACTTTCTGGCACCTGCATTGTTGGAGCCTTGTTATTATCCTACTTGGCTATCAGGAGATGGAAGTAAAGTAGTCAGACCAAATGTGTCAATAAAACTATATTGCAATCCCACCATGTGTCAAGCTCTTTATTTGCTTAATTTCACAACTTTTATCCTTCAGTCAGGTCTTAGCACCTCATATTTCCAGCCTGGGGTGGTACATGTATGTCAGTGCCTTTTACTCATGAACAGAATAAACATATAGGTATAACTTCATATAGTTCATAATTCAAGCAGTCTCAGACTCAATAGGCTTACAAGATAGATACCTCAGACTCAATAGGCTTTATAAACTCAATGGGGTATAGAATAAAAAGGAGATGAGAGCAACCAAACAGTTGTAGAACTAGCTTATAACAAGGGGGCCATGATCCTACTCCAAGATACAGAAGACCCTTCAGAAAAGCCCTGTAAATCCACAAGTGAATAGGAAGACCCTGAACTTTCTAGACTACTGGTTTCTTAACTGTAAGATGTCTCAGGATTTGAGAGGGGCTGTACTCCCCTAGTTGGATTAAATAGCTCTGCATTTAACCTTAAACTTGAATTTCTAACCAATTCTTTTTTGATGCTTATCCTCCTAATCAGAGTATCAAAGTTTTGAAAAAACGGTATCTAGATTGGTGATTGAAAGGAAGTATCTGATCTTCACTGGTCACCTAAGGTGGCTTGATCAAGAAAGGCCTAGTTTTAATAAAGAACTGACAGTCTCCTGATTAGTAATTACCGAGAGTGCAAGTACATGGATTTCTCAAGAAAAACATACTGTTCAAAGAACTTTCCAGTAACTGCTACTGGTTATACTCTGGGGAACAGTCTGCTCCCATGGTGATGCTCTGAAAACTAACCTTAAGTAAACAAGGTTTCCTTATTTCTCCTTCAAGGAAGAAACATCTAGGTTACTTGAGATTTTGAAATAAGTGTTAATCTTAGATCTAATGACTGCTTTGCAATTCAGCTGACCTCACTTTAAACTGCTTTTACACAGGGAATGGATATTAGACATTACCCTTACTCAGTTCACAGGGTTACTACCTGCATTTCCTGTGGTAGCAATTATACGTGCTCCCTGTTACTAATACAGTGGAGTCATATGACAATGAAATAGTTGATTATTCATTCCCAAAGTCTAGAATCTAGGATGAAAAGTCAACTCATGTCACTCGGTCAACAATTTAGCTGCTATTTGAACCTGAACATAATTCCAGAACATGGATTCTTTCCCTCATATTGTATTGAAAATATTCAGCAGTCCAGGGAACCAGTTCCCACTGAAAGACAGGTTCAGTTTGAAGGTCTTTTCTAGGCTTGCCTGCCTGGTGCTTGCGGAGAAATGGCTGTATTACGTGCAAAGGTTATGATTACTGACAACCTTTTCTGCTCCAGGCTGAGCCTTCTCAATGACAAGAGTCATGGTCAAGTATAATTGACTCAACTTGGAGTCAATTCTAATAGATAAAATAGGTAAATAGAAAAATAATTATTATTGAGATCCTAAAGTTTCAAACTAACCAACTCATGATTATATATTCAGTCTCCTAAAGCCATATATATTTATAGCAAGTCTTAAATTGTAAATATTAACTGAAAATACTATATACTTCTAGGTGAAATGTTAAATCGTCTGCCAACTTTTTTTTTCTTTGAGACAGGGTCCCTCTATGCAGTTTAGGCTGGCCTTGAGCTCACTTTGTAGCATAGGCTTGTCTTGAACTCGAAACGATCCTCCTGCTCAGCCTCCCAAGTGCTGGCTGGCTATTTTTTCCAACTTTTGATCTTTCATAAGCCAAGCTACATTTCCCGATAACTGAATAGTGTATCTGTCTTGAAGTAAATTCAACCCTTGTACCAACCAAATTTTAAATACTCAAAAGCTTGCCTGGAGCTGCCTCTTTATGGCTATAAAATCACACCTTACTCTGTAAGAAATAAGTGGATATAATATGCATTCTTAGCTTTCCCCTATCAGACAGTTGTGTAGGATCTTCTGATTGAAACTGACCTGATGATCCAAGAATTTGAGCTTCTCACTGAGAGAAATGCTGATCTGACATAGCACCTGGAGCAGAAGTCACTTAGGGTCAATTTGTCCCTGTTTTTGAAGGAGGGTTATGTCCTGGTTCTTAATACAAGATGTATGTTGGAACTAACCAAAGGCAATAATTATAGTACTTAATCCTCTCCCTAGAATCTTCCAGGTTTTCTCTAGGGAGCTTGTTGAGCCGTTAACATTCTGTGAAATGTCAGAGGGTGAGGATCTATTTCCTATACATTTCACCATGGAAATATTAAAGGAGAAATGTCCCATAAAATATGCTTCTGCAAATATATTACTACTGGTTTTCTAACTGTAGAATATTTGTTAACTTAGTCTTATCAACAGAGAAAAATGAATATTTTTTCAGGGAAGATTTTTTTATAATTTACCCTTGAATTGAATAGCCCCTGGCCAGAATTACTAAGCCTAAAGTTGAATCATAGTTCTAAGGGGAAATATCAGTTGGGACAATTAACTTGAGTAATTTATTAATATTATCTATTTATCTAATATTATCAGATAAGTTAGTAACTGGATTGTTCCTGGGTCCCTCATTCTTAAACTATTTTTATGATGCTTGTCCAGTTTAAATAGCCTGTTGTGTCGTATAAAAGAATAACTTGCCATCCCAAACTCTTCTCGATTTTCACCATTTCCTCCAAATTTAGAAAACTCATTTCTAGCTGACAGCTGACTTCTCTTTGACTAAAGAACTGATTAAATCAAGCCAAAAAATTTTTTGTATATCTTTGGGTTTTTTTAAAAATTTTATTTAAAAGGAAAAAGAGAAAAAAACAACAAAACAAAGCAGTGTAAGGGTACAAGTAATACAGAACTACCAAAAAAAAAAAAAAAACAGTAAGAAATCACCAGTTAATAGATTACACATTATCATCTTAGAGATAGTTGCTCAAGTCACAGAATCAAAGCATACAAAGTGGACATTCAAACAGACTGCAAACAGTTGTGTTCAATGATCCAACCAAAAACATTAATATGGTCAGCTATTTAACACCCCTAAGCACACTTGCAGTTGTATCTTTTAGAGCAATTTTTCCCTCTGTTTTTTACAACACAATTTACACATTTTGGGTTTTATTACTCCTTAGTTCTTATTACTTTTTTTTGGAAGAGAATAAAGTCAAATATGGCAAAACAAAGCTGTCAGTCAAAACCAAGGATAGACATAGCACATGACGTAAAAACAGAGTACAGGGTTATCAACAATGGTTACCATAATGCCTCTTGCTTCCTTAAAAAGAATTGCCTATCTCATTAGGTATTTAAAAGTTGAACAAAACAGTAGAGAACAAAACCAATAAAACCTAAACCTTGTAAACATTACAGGACAAAGAAGGTAATAGTCAAACCAGAATGGGAATCATAGTGAATCTTATTGCCTTCAAAGTAGTTGCCTAAACTCTCAAACTTGATACTATCATACAGAATGTAACAGAGTCTAATCAGTCAAAACAAGATAGTGGGAGTATTACAGGACTTCAAATCAAGTTAATAGGAAATCAAAAAAGTTACTACAATATATCTTGCTGAATTTTTTATTTTCCCCCTTAATTAAAAAAATCATGACAAATAACAATTTTTTAATGAATAAGGGAGAGATTGAGATAAAAGAGGACATAACAACATAATAATACAGGTCAAAGCATGACAGTTTCAGCAACCTAGTGCTTCACCACCAAATAACCCGACTTAGTAGTAGTTACCATAGTGTCTTTTTCCTTGAAATATTTGAATATAACTTCATATACTATAGCTTCAAATATATCAAGTCAGTGTAAAACCATTCAAGTGGATGAAAGCATTGTATGGTATTTAGAACCAACTAACAGAAAACGAACAATGGCTTCTATATTATCTCTTTGATTATAACAATTTTTGTTTATACTATCACATATAATAAAATCCAGCAAGATACATCATGATAAAACTAGTGGAGACAGAAGAGCTGTAGTTTGGTGGGGCTTCAAAACAAGATGATAGTAAATCAGCACTAGCTATTATGATGACTTACTTTCTTTAAAATAGCTGTTCATTTCATCACAGGAAATAATATCAAGCAGCCCAGAATAAAGCCATTCCAATTAATAAGTGAAAACTTTATAAGGCTTCAAGGCCACCTAGTGGGGAATCATGATTACCACATACTTTTACATATTTAAATCATTGCTTATATTAGGGAAACTATTCGGTATTTACACATGCGAGATTGATTTATTTCACTTATGAGTATGGTCTCAAGCTGCGCCCATTTACTGATAAATATTTCAATGTGATCCCTCTTTATAGCTGAGTAATACTCCATTGTATAGAAATACCACAACTTTTTTATCCAGTTCTCAGTTGATGGACACTTGGGTTGTTTCCAAGATATGGTGATTACAAATTGTGCTGCTTTATAAACATAGGTGCACATATATCACTGTGGTATGATGCTTTCTGTTCTAGAAGTGGAATAGCTGGAACAAATGGTACTTCCAATCTCAGCTTTTTGAGGAATCTCCAGATTGACCTCCACAAAGGTTGTAACAGTTTACACTCCCACCAACAGTGTAGAAGAGTTCCTTTTTCCCCACAGCCTCTCTAGCATTTGTTGTTGGTTTTCTTGATCCTGGCCATTCTTTCAGGAGTGAGATGGAATCTCAGTGTGGTTTTAATTTGCATTTCGATAATGACCAATGATGATGAACATTTTTTCATGTATTTATTTGCCATTTGTATTTCTTCATCTGAGAAGTGTGTATTCATCTCAGATGCCCATTTTTGGATTGAATCTTTGAATTTTGGGGGTCTGAGTTTTTTTTTAATTCTTTATATGTTTTAGACAAAAGTCCCTTGTCTGAGGGGGAGTTCCCTAAAATCTTTTCCCAGTTTGTGGGTTTTCTTTTCACTATGCTGGAGATTTCTTTTGACATGCAGATACTTTTTAATACGAGGTGGTACCAGTTATTGATTCTGGAAAGTATTTCCCGTGCAGTTTGAGTCCTGTTCATGAATTCTCTACCTACCCCTATG